TGCCGTAAATATATCTAAATATTCACAGGCTTTTTAATACGCCGTAAAAATATTTTTCTACGACGATTCTATAAAATCCTCATGAAAGCATGTCCTATAACGTAACAATTACGAGGATTTTTTTAAAAACTCCGTAAATAGTGGTAATCACGAGGCAAAATAAAGAAGCCCCGTAAATACTATGTCGTAAAAGCGCTCTTTTCTTGTAGTGGTTTCTCGCTAATTCCCAATCCTGTTCCGGCGAAGAAAAGCCCCAAATCGAGACTTTTTCTTCATGGGGTTTGCATAAATGACCATAGGCAACAACGCCAACACCATCACAACCACGCGCTGCCGCCGACGACACCATTACTCTCAAGGCGCTTCGTGTCCCTTTCTCCATCACCATCCCTGACAACGTCACACGCGACCACACCCACTATCGGTCTCAAAACACATGCGCGTCCCTCTCTCCATCACCGCCGTCTCGTCCATCGTCCCAATCTCCGTCTGGTCCGCTGTTTCGACAACCTCAGGCTTAGTGAATGTTATTGGGCAAAAGGGTCCTTTGCTATTTCTAAATATTTTGATTATTTTTAATAATATAATAATAAGGGCAGATGAGTAAATTTATCATAAAATCTGACTTTGGGGGGTCTTTGCAAAAAAATAACAAACCTCATATTTACTTGCAATTAGTCTAAACCTCAGGGGAGAGGTCATTATAGTTTGCCTTATTTTTTACGCAACAATTATTCTTTTTTAACTACCAATTTTCAACAACTATTTTTTTTTTAAGTGTTTGCATTTTATTTAGTTTATTTGCCTCATTAAAAATAAATAAAATATAAATTATATATTTGATTATATAATTAATAACTCTAAACCAAAAAAACAAAATATTTTTAGGGCAAACCATTAAATATTTTTAGGACACATCATTCATAAATAATAAATCAACTAATTCACCACAAATCTATACTAAATCAATCATCGTGCAACCGGCAAAAGTATGTCAAGTCAATTAAATTATGCCATCGAAATTCAGGAATTCTGAATCTTAATTGTGGATACAGAGTAAAAGAGATGAACCATTATATATATGCGCGTGTATGTATATATAGAATTTTAAAGTTATATATAGAGAGACAAAAATAGAAATTGGAAAGTAAATAGGGAAGTGGGTTTTACACATAATAGTAGATTTGACGGCTCTTATAATTTGTGTTATATTTGACATAAGATTTGATAAAGTTATATTTTAACAGCCTATTTAACATGTCATTAAAAAGCTCATTTTAAACACATTTGTTATATTTTGAAATAAGCAATTCATTTGACACCTCTATTCGATCCTTCTCCTCGTTGTTGGATATCTCGTTAGTACACATCTTCTCTTTATTTTATTTTTTATTTTTTATTTTTTTATTCGGGCCTCTAGTGAGTTACGGACAGAGTTCGAAAAGGTTCGAAAAGGTAGCCCATTAAAATGGCTCTAACACACATAAAACTAACATGCGGGCCTTACAAACTGAAAATTGTCCGTTTCTCTCCCTTTCATACAAAGCGGCAGGCTTTACAAATAATATAAAAAAAAATACTCATTTACATTTTATAATCATAAAGAGCCAAATGACTACAATCAGTATGCTACCGATTGAATTTGGTTTGGTCACATAAATACATTTGTGGATATCTAGGTTACACATATAGAGAGCTCAGTCAAGAGCACCATATCCATTGCTTTTAGAGTGGCGTGTAAAACCAACACTAGTTCCTAACATAATTAAAAAAAAGTAACATGCCTAAGTTATATTACAATTTACAATGGTTAATTGCAATGACATTTTTTGAGATATTGGTCAATGCTAGGTCAATATTTTTTTGTCAATAACACTTTACGAGTTTTTAAAATTTTACATCCACACCCCCTCTCAACTTATAAAAAATCTTAAATGTCCTTTGATAAGTCAACAATTACTTTTTAATCCTAAAATGACCTAAATCCCCTTTCTAACTAACTATTTTTAATATAACTAATTGACCCATTATTTGGGTAATTGCATTGATCTTTCTATCTTTAAGACTAGTTTATGCCACTACACCAAAACCACCACCGCCACCCACACCACACCGAAACAACACCACCACTACACTAGAGAAAAATAAAATTGAAACACCTAGATAACCTAGATATCACTATAACCACCATAATTGACACCCAAACAATACTATCACTACCACCACCACAATAGTAGGAATTTTTTTTTTTTTTTTTTGAAAACAGCCATGGCAAACCTAGACACTACTACAACAGGAAAAAAAAAACCTAACACCACCATGCCACCATGTTTTCCCTTAAATTCTAGGAACTTGCCTAGTCACCCCTCTCAATTGGACTTGCCCTAACATTTCAGTATTAGATCGATTACGTTCTGGTGCTAGCTCCATGGCCCGTTCAAACCACGTTAGTTCATCTTCACCTAACTACAAACAAATTTTCGTCAATTTTAGGGGTTTCTATCTGTGATTAGGGCTGCCAATGAACTGAGCTGTTCATGAACAACTCGAACTCGACTCGTTAGTAAACGAGCCGAGCTCAAGCTCAATTTTTAAGATCCTTTAATAAATGAGTCTAGTTTGAGCAACATTGAGCTCAGCTCGTTAGGCTCGTTAATTTGAAGGCTTATTCAGACACAACTCTCTCTTTTATCTTTCTAACAGATCTTAAGGTACAACAGTGCAACATATCGATAGATCAAGTCCGATATAGCCTTGTAAGGTTTAATTTAATCTTGTTCTATATTATTTTTTTTTCTTTGTTATCGGAGATGGAGATAAGATGAATTTGTTTCTCGGTCGAAGATGAAGATCGGATTTAATGGAAGAGATCAAGTGATTTCTTGAATTGGTGGCTATTGGGTAATGTAACGATTCCGAGCCGAACCTGAGCCCGAACCCGGCTAGTCTAAGCTCGCTTGAGCCCAATCCGAGCACGAACACCTCTGTGGAGTTAACGAGCTGAGCCCGAGCAAGCCAAAGCTCGGCTCGACTCATTTGCAGCCCTATTCATGCTTCTCATTAGTTGCTGACATTCTTGGTATCGTTGGTCATGATCACGATCACGTCACCATGAAATTAGGGCTTTTTAGTGAGATGAAGCAGTGGTAATATTGGAGCAAAAGATAATGCCTTTTGACCAATTTGGGTGATGCCAATGTAATGATTGTAGTGGAAGTGAGGGAGGAAATAGGAGATGGAATGGTCACCGACATGTCAAAATCATGTATTGGGGATGAGTTACCAAAAAAGGGGGAGGAGATTAATAGAGCAAAAAGCAATAAAAATAAATAAATTAAAGGGATTTAAATAAAGAGAGAATGGTATTTTTGTCAAATTAAAAGGAGTGATGTTTTGTGAATTAATTAAATTAAATAATAAAAACAAATATGTCATTTGAAAGGGCAGTGTCAGTGCAATTATAACTTATTTACAAAGTTTCATGGTATTGTAGGCTCGTGTCACCATCAATAGAAGCAAACATAAATATGATGTTATTTATATATAAATACGATGTTGTTGTGATCTTCACGTGCCACCGGCACTCACCATGTTGTCATTTACATTGCATTTGGGTTTTATTATGAGTGAGAATAAATGAGAGGATAGCCACAGGTATGGGAGACAGAGAAAAAAAAAATGGAGTAAAATAAAGTAAAGAATGATGTCAATTTTAATCATTTTTCGTCAATTTAGGATCTTTGATATGATATAGAAATCCCTATTTTGTTGGTAATAAGTTGGACACTTATTTTTTAATAAAAAATTTAAATTATTTAATAATGTTGTATATTCATTTACTTAATTCAATATGACAGCAGAATTTCTAACAAGTGATCAATATATTCATATCAAAATTTTAGCAACTTTCATTCAAAATGACATAAATGAGCAAATTGAATCCATATGTCGACACAAAAAATTATTTAATAGTCGAGATCATGTAATCTGACTAATAAAAAATTGTAAATTAAATAAAACTAACATATTTCTTTACTGACAAATTTTTATGGTCTCCAATCATGCCTGAAAAATTTAATAATTTCTCGTTTCACCATCGGCACAGCACAAGCAAGCAGGGACCGCCAAGATATATCCGCCAATTCCAATTGCAATACTTGCCCACTCACCCACCGGCCTCACTTTCTTTGATTGTGGTTGATGGTGTCCCATGGCCACCGTGGCCATGTCCCTGTGATACACATGGTCAGAATGTAGGCACATGGTCGCCTTTGTCACCATACCTGTGATTCTTTGAAGTTGTTGGAATTAAATGAAGCTAGACGATAAAAATCCAAAGTATAATGAATCTTGTATCGTACATAACCCATGCTGCTCAAAATTTTTCCAATTTAGAATTCTTATATTGAAGTTCTTTTCTATTTATGAATATTGGATTTCCTCTGTTTGTAATTCAGCAAAGGTGCATGTATATATATATATATATATATATATATATATATATCCAATTTTTAATTCTAATCAGATGCAACTCAACGGTTTATCTTTAAAGAGCATCATTTCTTGTGCCTTCTTAATTGGCGTACCATAACAAAAGAATCCAATTTTGCAATCCAAATAGATAAACGAAAGGATTGTACTTTATAGAGAAGAAATAAAATTTGATAAGATTGTAACCAATGAGTCTTTTCCAATCTGTCAATCAACGGTAAAGAATTGCTGGACCCGTACGTCATTAATCATTATCTTTATGCTGGATCAATTGAATTGGACGAATCTGCTTGTCCCACTAGAATAAAGTAAATGTGCGATCTGTCTCCTCCAATCATTCACATCGTCTGTATACCGTATTTAATCTATGCGTACCATTGGCCAAAAAGGGTACTATAATGTTTATGTGAACTTATGCATCCACATTAAATATTCAATATATATATATATATATATATATTTTTTTTGGTATTATCCTGTAGTTTCACCCTAGCAGGTTTTTAGCATTTCTAATTTTTTTTGGGTATTATTCTGCAAGTTTTTAGCATTTTCTAAATTCAAAAGTCACTCTTGACCCTGTACACATCCATGCTTATGTAGGCTCTTACATCACCAGTAAAGAGTATTTTATTTTTGTATTTTACTTTCAATTTTTGATCGAAACCTAGACCATTTGGCCACAAACACCAACGCCCTACCGCTGCCTATCGCATCACACCCTCCTCGCTAGAGAGAACATTGCCAAGCAAAAAGGCTTGTAATTTATCCTTCTTTGTGAACAACAAACAAACCCCAGAATGGCTTTCCCCATTCCTTAGGTTTTTTGCAACTATTCCAATTCCGTAGGGTTTTTTTTGATGATTCGAGTTATTTCAGCAGAACAAAGTAAGGATCTCGAGTCTTTTGTTGAACGGGAAAAATGAGTTCACAAAAGCAATTGCTACACTTTGTTTTGCTCCCCCATTTAGCCCATGGCCACCTGATCCCCATGATAGACATGGCCAGGCTGCTGGCACAGCATGGCGTGACCGTCACCATCGTCACCACGCCCCTCAACGCCACGCGTTTCAGATCAAACATGGATCGCGCCATCGAGTCCGGGCTCCAAATCCAACTTCTCCAAGTCCCATTTCCATCCACAGAGGCCGGCTTGCCTGAGGGATGTGAAAGCATGGACAATCTTCCTTCCCGGGACTCGTTCAAAAACTTGCTTGTTGCCATTAGAATGCTCCAGTCACCGATTGAAAATTTGTTCAATGAGCTACAACCGCGCATAAGTTGCATAATCTCGGATAAGAATCTACCATGGACAGCTGAAACAGCTTCAAAATTATGTATCCCAAGGCTTGTTTTTGATGGAACAAGTTGTTTTTCTCTCTTGTGCACGCACAACATACTCAATTCTAGGATTCACGAGTGTGCGCTAGAGTCTGAAGCATTCGTGGTGCCTGGTTTGCCTGATCAAATTGAGTTAACTAGAGCTCAATTACCCAACGCGGTTAATATGGACAACGCGAGTGACATGCGTAGAAAAATCAGAGAAGCTGAACTAGCAGCATATTGGGTGGTTGTCAATACTTTTGAGGAATTGGAACCAGCATACATTGAAGAATTTCGAAAGGTGAGAGGCTGCAAAGTTTGGTGTATCGGTCCAGTATCACTATGCAACAAAGAGAACGTGGACAGAATCGAGAGAGGCAACAAGACTTCAATTGATGAAAACCAGTTAGTGAAGTGGCTCGATTCAAAGGAGCCTAGCTCTGTAGTCTACACCTGTCTAGGAAGCCAGAGCCGCCTCACAGCTCCACAACTGATAGAGCTTGGATTAGGCCTAGAAGCCTCGAAACAACCCTTCATTTGGGTTATAAGAGGAGGAAACAAATCACAAGAGTTGGAGAAATGGATGTCAGAAGAAGGATTTGAAGAGAGAACAAAAGGGAGAGGGCTTTTGATCCGTGGTTGGGCGCCACAAATATTGATTTTGTCACATCCGTCAATTGGAGGCTTCTTGACACACTGTGGTTGGAACTCAACACTAGAAGGGATTTGCGCGGGCGTGCCAATGATAACGTGGCCATTGTTTGCAGAGCAGTTTTACAACGAGAAGTTTATGGTGCAAGTATTGAGGATAGGTGTGAGAGTCGGGGCTGAGTTTGCAGTGAAATGGGGGGAGGAAGAGAAGTTTGGGGTGTTGGTGAAGAAGGAAGAAGTGAAGAAAGCTATACAACAGGTGATGGATGGAGGAGAAGAAGGACAAGAGAGGAGGAAAAGAGCAAGAGAGCTTGGGAAGATGGCAAACAGGGCACTAGAGGAAGGGGGTTCTTCTTATCTGAACATGGCCTTGTTAATTAAAGACATTAGGCAACAACTTATGATCAATCAGTCTTGAACCATGCCATAAACTTACAGATGTATTGGTTACAATACACAATACGTTGTAGTTTTTTATCATGTGGTCACGAGAGACTCTTGACATATTCAGTACCAAGTTGTCAATCTCCTTTGTATGCAATGTTATATCTATTCCTTGGATGTCCTTTGTAGACAGTGCTATGTCTATTCCTTGATGTCCTCTGTATTCAGAACCACGTTATCTATGTCCTTTTATTTTCCTTGGGCAAGAAAGGAATTTCACGTTTCTAAAATTTTATGGCCATCCCTTTCAATTAATCAACTCGAAGTTCTAGAAACTGGTCAGCAATTCAAATGATGGGTCCTACTAAACAGCATCCCATTGTCGGGACGTATCTATCATTATTGTTTGTTTTTACCATCTCACCATGAGGCCATCTACCCAACTGCCATTCTCCTACTTCAGTTTTTTCTAGTTTTTCAATGCCATACGAGTCTACACGACCGAACATAGAAGTGGATCGGAAGAATAATCCATTAGACACAAGTAGTTGATGGGACGGTACATGAGACAAAATTAAATCATTTGCCAAATCAACCAAACAATTACTTGTACAAAAAATTAAAAATTAAAAATTGTACAAAAATATTTACTTAGTTTAATTTTTTGAAAATTATTTCTTGAAAATTTAATTATAAAAATGTTTGATTTTGATAATTGTCTTTTATAATTTTTTAAAAATAGTTTTCTACCCTCTGACTACTTGAGAAATATTTTTAGAGTTACAAATAATGTAGACCCATATTTATTATTATTATTATTATTATTTATTTTTATTCGCCAAAAAGATTTTAGTTCTATAAACTAAAACCTCACCATATATATTTTAATTGATATTTATTTTCTAAGTATGAAGAATCTTTGATTGCTTGCTCTCAAGCAATCTTATATCAGGAGTGAATAATGCTATGTCAAGTTGTAAACATAGACCTCATGATCATTATTGAATTATTCAATTACATTTGTCGTGCAAATACATTGTCTAACATGTGCGTGGCGTGGAAATACAAGTAGGTTATTTTTATTTTGTAAGTAAGGTACATTTGTATATCACTCGTATTTCAGTCGAAACTTAAACTCTGGATCATCTTTTCAAAAAACACTCAAGCTGATAGGAGATTTCACTCAAGCTGATGCATCATGATGAGTTTGATACCACTATAATGACTCACTTAATTAAAAGACCGTGAGGGTGGAGTCAGTAATCACATAGTTTTCCCTTTGTTGGTTCATTAATAGTTGAAAGAACAAAGCATCAATAATTGAAAGAACAGATCGAACAAAAGCATGTTTGCTGTAATTTTCCTTTTTTTGGTTCATTATTAGCAGATGTCATCTTGTAGGTCATCAGTTGTAACTTATGTGAATTTCCACCGTTTAAAATATATGAACTACCAGCCCCATGTAACTCTTCACATCACCTCTTCCTACTTAATAGTCTTCAAGATATGCAGTTGATTGACTGCCAGAGTGACACACTCTATATATTGTGAGCTTGAAGCTCCATCCATTGAACGTACACCTATATATCCACTGCACCAAGCTCAAGCTCTTCTATTATTATGGCTGCTTCATCCCCTTCACAACAGCTTCACTTCCTAGTGATTCCTCTAATGTCCCAAAGTCATCTCATCCCCATGACAGACTTTGCCAAACTACTTGCACATCACGGCGTAACCGTCACCATAATCACTACACCTCTCAATGCCATCCGGTTCAAAGCAATCATCGACTATGCCAAAACTGCCAACCTCAAAATCCAACTTATTCCACTTCGGTTTCCATGCCAAGAGGCTGGATTGCCTGAAGGATGCGAAAACATGGACACACTCACTTCTCCAGACTTACCAAAACAATTTTTTGTAGCAAGTGAAATGTTACGAGAACCACTAGAGAAATTGATGGGAGAATTAGAACCAAGGCCAAGTTGCATCATTTCCACCGTTGCTCAGCCTTGGACTGCACAAGTTTCTCAAAAATTCAACATCCCAAGGTTTGTTTTCAACACAGTTTCGTGCTTTACTTGCTTTTGCTCTCACACCATCTCACAAAATCATGTTGAAGAGAAAGCATCTTCAGATTCAGCGTCATTTTTGGTGCCGGATATGCCTCACAGAATCGAATTTACCAAGGCCCAGTTGCCCCAAGTCAGTACTGATGGCTTCAAAGACACTATAAAACAAATGAAAGAGGCTCAGTTTTCAGCAGACGGTATTTTAATAAATAGTTTCGAGGAGTTGGAGCCAAGGTATGTTGAAGCACACAACAAAGTTATGGGTGGGAAGATTTGGTGCATTGGGCCAGTTTCTCTTTGCAACAAAGATATGCCAGATATGTTTGACAGAGGTAACAAGGCCTCCGCTGACTCACACCATTGCTTGACATGGCTAGATTCAATGAAGCCAAGCTCAGTCATTTATGCTTGCTTTGGCAGCCTGTGTCATATATCACCTCCTCAGCTGATTGAAATTGGTTTGGGCTTAGAAGCATCAAACCACCCCTTCATTTGGATAATCAGAGCAAGTGATTATTCAACAGAGATAGAGAAATGGCTAGCGGAAGAGAGATTTGAAGAGAGGATTAAACAGAGAGGTCTAATAATCCGAGGATGGGCACCCCAAGTCCTCATATTGTCCCATCCATCCATTGGAGGCTTCTTAACTCATTGCGGATGGAATTCAACGTTGGAAGGAATTTGTGCCGGCCTACCAATGATCACTTGGCCGATGTTTGCTGAGCAATTCTATAATGAAAAGTTTATCACACAAGTGCTAAAGATTGGAGTGAGAATTGGTGTAGAGGTTGGCATGCAGTGGGGGGGAAAAGAGGAGGCTAAAGTGTTGGTGAGGAGAGAACAAGTGAAGGAAGCTATAGGCCAACTGATGGAAGGAGGAGATGAGGGAAGAGAGAGAAGAAAAAGAGCCAAGGAAATTGGAGATGAGGCCAAGAGAGCAATTGAAGAAGGCGGTTCTTCTTACTTGAAGATGACAATGTTGATTCAACATGTCAAGCAACACGTCAATCATAACTAAGGGATGCAGCCAAGAATATATATATATATATATATATATATATATATATATATATATGCTCATGTGTGTGTGTATATATATATATAGTAGTTCTTTATCTTTTCAGCTTGCTAGCGTAGTTGCTGGGTGACTTTTTCTTCAGGTGCATGTCCATATTCCATATTTGACTGGTTCGCTTTCCTTGAGCTTCTGGCAGAAAGATGAAGTTTATGATTATATTACGTGGAACAATTTAAATGTGATTCAAGGCTTTGATGTAACTAAATTATGTTTTATATTTATTTGCTTGAATAAATAAATTACGTAGACTTTTAATTCGTGACAAATTTTTTTCAATTTTCAAATTTAAGATTCCGATTCAATATTTCCAAACTCAAACATTTGGACAGAATTAGTATGTGTTAATTAAACATACTAATTCTATAAGACCCACTGATTTATTACTTTGGTCTAATTAAACACATGCTATAAAAGTGGAACTAATAAAAATAGATGGACAAAACTTGGGTCCTCCCATTAGAGATTGTAGTTCATTCTTCCAAGTAAGGTGGACCAATGAAATTAAAACACATGTTTAAAAAATTTAAAAAGTAAAAATATGGGCATTACCCATTTTTTACAAGTTAAAAAAAAAAAAAAAAAAAAAATTCAAAAATCTGAAATAGAAAACACAAAATTCAATTTCTAAAAATTCCAAAATTGAATGGCTGAAACCGATCAAAGTGGATGGGAAGGCTAGGGATTGAAACAGAATGAAGTTGATGAGATAAGGCCAAATATATATGTTTGATCTTTTTGTCATTATTATTTTTGTTGGGCATCTTAGCAACTCAAGTTGGGGGTTTTGATCATATTCTAGTTTCTCTACAAAGCACTGATATGAAATTTATAGCTTAGCATTTATATACACTGTACTCTGTATTTGTTAATTAGGTCCTCCTTGAATTCTAGACGTTAACGTAAATGAACCATAATAAGTATGAAATACACACTTTAAAATTTGAATTAAGGATTATATTAGTTCAATATTTGAACATAATCTTTTTTTGATTCCTGTTGAATTCCATACTAGAGAAACCGCCTTAGCCTTAGAATGAATATCCTTTTTTCTTGCTTAACAAAGTTAAGTCGCTTAAAAAGTACAGTCCTGGAACTCCAAAATCTCGCGGTATTCCTCCGGACGGCCTTATGAAAGAGAGAAAGCCTATACCGACAATCTATTCAAACTAAGGAACAGAAGCCATTGGGGACCGATCAAGCTTTGATGTGCTTCATTCGTATCAATGAGCGATATACCCATAGGGTTTGAGAATGGAGCCAGTGGGCGAGAGCGGAGGAGGATAGCAGTGAGGAGTGGAGGAGGAAGGTTACGGTAAGGGGTGGAAGAGGAATTTTAGGGATTGAAATGGAGGTTGAGTATGGAAAATTAGGTTGTGTGGGGAGAGAAAGAGAGAGAAGAGAGGGGAGGGTTAAGCTCGTTAGAAATAGGTGATATCCATCTTTTAAACTTTTAAATGTTTTGAATAGGTATTCTAATTTCATTGGTCCTCCTCACAGGGAGGATGAACCACAATCACAGGGAGGATGAACCACAATCTCTCGGGGAAGGATTAAGTGTTGTCCAAAATAGATAGAATAAATACATTCTACAAAAGTGCAAGTGGAAAAAATAGATAGAATTACCTTTTGGTATTCAAGCATTTTTAATCATGATAAAATACTCCATAATATCTATATTTAATTTCCTTAGGTTGGTACGGTTGTTCTCTCTTGACTGGTTCTATAGTAATATGGGAATATGATTTTTTGTATTTTTTTTTGTTTTTTCGATTTATATTCACTTTCACACCACAATTATCACTAATAGAAGCTGTGAGGTGATGATCAATAAGTTAATGTCATTTTCAATAATCATTTTGTTTTTATTCTAATTTTGGTGGGATTGAGAAAAAAATGTATGTTAAAATTACTTCTAAGTTAAGATAATGTTATGATCAAATAATGAGTAATGAAAACAAAATTAAAGCCTTAATTAATTCGGTTTGTGTATTGGTGTATGTTTGATATGTCTATTAATATTTTCTCTACTTTGTGTTTCATAAAAATTCAAGACCAACTTTACACACACTATCAAACATTTCAAGACCTATATTCTCTTATGCAAATAAATAAATAATAATAATAATAAAATAAAAAATAAATCTTATATATCAGAGAATATAAATTATTCAGCTATATATATATATATACACACACTAATATTAATAATAAAGTGGGCAAAGTCTTCATTTAATTTAAATCTCACCTTTCACCAAGAGGTGATGCATCATTTGACAGTCTCATTGTTGACAAATGTAAATGTGTGGAAATACAAGTTATTGTGTTATTATATGAAGGGTCTTATGGTTGAGAAATTATTAGACTTTCTAACTTTTAAAATAGATGGTTCGGATTTGAGTTTCTAAATGAGTAAGTAAATGTGTAAATGATGCATGTATTTTTTGTTAATAAAAAAATAAAAAAGAAGAAGGTGGATGTGTGAGTGCTAACTTAAGAAGAAAAAAGAAGAAGAAAAAAACATAAATTTGCATAGGAGAGGTGTCTTGTTGATCTTATTAAGGATTTTTTTTTTTTAAAAAAAAAAAAAAAAAAAAAAAAAACTCACAATATATATATATATATATATATATATATATATATATATATATAGAATTTATGGCTCAAGTTATATGGCTACATATATATATATGTGTGTGTGTGTGCGCGTGTGTATATATATATATATATCAGATACTTGCTGGATTCTAGATTTAAAACGATATTAAAGTTCTCAAATTAATGATCACTTGGGGAGAGCAATGTGTTGGGGCACTCTGTATCTTTTTTGAAAAGTTATAAGGGGTGCTTATTGTGTTAGTTCACATCATTTGTATGTAAAAAAAGAAACTGTAAATTTTTTTAAAAAATTTAAGATTTTAAATTTTTAGCATTTAGTAATATATAGATATAGGTGAAGCCATTATCACTACTCCATTTCAAGTGACACTTATTTTTTAGTGATATTTAAATTGTATTTTTAAATACAAGTAATTGAATAAATATCTATGATATGTTCAGTTGAACTGAATTAGTGTCTCAAAAATTACAATTGGACAAAAAATAATTTAATGTTTGAACCAAAAAAAAAATTTCAATTCAAAGTCGTTAAAATATTTTCAACGTGGTAAATAAAAAAACATATAAACGTCATTTAAATTGTTAATGCATTGAAGCATTGTGGTACTTGTTAATTAGCGTGTATGTGTGCAAACATATACAAGGTGAGAGATTTTGATGCTTAACCTTATTAACAAGTCCAAGTCGTTATCTTAGTTAGATTTGAACCATTGACGGTTTCATCTCACCCTTAAATATTTTTGGTGTTTTTGTCTTTAAGCAGAAAAATCTTAACTTGCGTATATTGATATGTAACACTCAATAACACTCAAAATTCAAAATGATTATCCTTAATATCTAAGACAAAGATTAGTTAATGTATTCTTGCGTGTTAAATCATCACTATGACGTCATTATTATTATTATTATTATTATATATTTTAGTTACTTACAATGAGATTTTCCCCAACTCAACCCGTGTTTCACATTTTCTTGAGAAAAATATTTAAAAATAGAAAAAGTTTTTAAAAAACCAAAAAAGTTTACTTGAAAATGACAATTAATGTTGATTCAACATGTCATGCAAGTTGCAACATGTCATATTTGAGTGGTTCTCTTAGCTTCTGGCAGAAAGATGTAGTTTATTATTAGTGAGGATACAATAAGTGATATAGGCCGATTATAGTTTGCAGACGTAGCATTGGGGCAAATAATTAAAATACAGCCCATATAAGAGCTGAGCGCCAACCACTCAGCAAAATAAGTGGCAGCTGGCACTATGAGCCGAATGCTAAAAACTAGCCAAAAAATAAAAGAGTAAAAGTGGCAAGTGGCATTCTAGCCGAGCGCCAATCACTCAGCAAAGTAAGTGGTATCTGGCACTATGAGCTGAGTGCCAAAAACTAGCCAAAAAATAAAAAAGTGAAAATGGCAAGTGGCATTCTAGCCGAGCGCCAATCACTCAGCAAAATAAGTGGCAGCTGGCACTATGAGTCGAACGTCAAAAACTTGCCAAAAAATAAAAGAGTGAAAGTGGCAAGTGGCATTCTAGCCGAGCGCCAACCAGTCAGCAAAGTAAGTGGCATCTAGCACTATGAACCGAATGCCAAAAACTTGCACAAAAAATTTGTTGTGTGGTAAAGTGGCACATTAGCCGAAAGCCAGCCACTGACATACAGAGAAGAACCAGATCAGATAGCATTAAATCATTAAGTCAAGGGATTTATGGTAAGAGTTCAATCAAAAGTAAGCCATCTCATTAATAATGAAGTTTCAGAGTTACAAAAAAGATGAGGTATACAGATGGCAAAAATACAAAAGAAAGGAAGTCAGTACATCAGAAAGGTTCTAACTAGAAGCATTTGCCCCGTCAGCTTCTTGATGGTGCTGAACGGCCTCCTCATCGTTGTTGGCGTTACCATCCTCACGTGGAGGAGAATCGAGCTGAATGATAGAATCATTCTGTTGAGTTCTATCCTCAATAGCATTGGAAGAATCATTTTGCCGAAGGTCATCTTCAGCAGTAGTGACAGATGGAGTCACGGTGGACAGAGGAAGAACGTCCAGAGGCTGAGCACTAAAAGGAGTGGGAGTGATCCTGGAGGAGGCGATCT